TGAAACATTTGGCATTACAGGGTTAAAAGGCTGGGATTGATCCCTAAAGAACCCCCTGGTTTATTTCACTTGGACGTCTTGTAGAGAAAAAAAAATCAGGAGGTCCCGTTTTGCTGCCTGCTTCTCTCTGTTGCCGGTTTGGTATCTGCTTTTGCACAAAGGCTGTGAAACAGGAGCTGGCCAGGACGGGGCTGCTGCTTTTTTCTGTTTTTTTCTGCTTTTTTCTGCGGGGCGGCAGCTTGCTTGGCAGAATCTGGTCGGCTTATTGGCACGACCCGGAGGCAACATGGGGGAGTGTTTGTTCTGTGTTGCTGTTGGACCGAGATAAAGCGGAAAACAGCCCCCTCGCCACAAGCGCACGCACAGAAGCGCACGCCGTGGCACTGTGGAGAGCCACACAGCCCCGTGGATAAAGGCCTACGGTCGGGCAGGAGCGAGGTTTCATTCAGGTCAGTTTTACACCCTAAGTGTGTAAAACAGCTGACAAGAGGCCATATCCTCAATCAGGCCAAACAAAGGACAATAATTCTGCTTCCTGTTAGCCCTCGGTCACCTAAATTTAGCTTTTCAGGGCCAAGCAAACAAACAACACACCTTTGTTTTCATTTTACGGTTTTAAATGTATTCAGAAATAATAGAAATTATCGTCTTCGAAATGACAACACACCCTCAGATGGAGAACAAAGCACGACAGAATTCCACCGTATCGTTATGTAACGAGGACAAAGCTGGGTGTCGGGAACTAATTAACATTTTTAGTGCCTCTACAGGAATTGGAAGTGGAGGTAGCAGGCAGGAGCTGCTAATTGGATACGCCTGAGTAACCGATCATCAGCACGTCGGAGAACCTCCGTAAAACAGAAGCTGTGGCCGTTCAGCTCCTCGTACCAGCTGGTAGCACGGTGGTGGAGGGATGATGGTTTGGGGCTTGAGCTCGGTTAAGCTTTCTGTTAGCGTGAGCCGCATGACGGTCTGATTTCTAACATTTTCGTGGATTCAAAAGTCTCTAAAATGGTCTTTTTCTTAAAATCAAACATAATAACATTATGTGGAATGGAGAATTCGCTCCGGCGTGTTTGTGAAATCACCTCAATCTCTTTGAAAGTGGGGGGGATCTCCGGGCTGCGGGGGAAAAACACCAAAGCCAAGGTGATGCTGAGAGCCAGGAGGAAGACAGGAACGACTCCCCGCCTTTAAGACAAAGAACAGCAGCAAGAATTCTACCTCTTAGTCTAAAAAACAGTATTTTCACATCCAGGAAAAGAAGAGATTTACTCTCCTTTTATTTCTTCTCACTATTGTTGTGAAGTCCAATGTATGAGAATGATCATTTTGAATGGTAGTAGAAGATTACCTGATAAATTAGTATGCCGAATTATTAAAAAAATATATTTCAAACGACAGAAGTAGTTTTCCATGTTTCTGTTTATACGGAATTTGGTTGGAAATCAAAGTCAACCTAAAAGTCGTGCAAATTTCAATTGACTGTTGCATTGACGGATACAAACATGGGCTAACCCTCTCGTATATGCGGTTTTTTATTGATAAATGCTACCATAGTTTGCTTTACCGGTGTATGGAGGTGTTTTTTTTACTCACTTTGCAGATCCGGATGCTCGCAGCAGCATCGTCATGAAAACAAGAGTCGCGATCCAAATAACAGCAATGACGAAAACGCCAGCACCAACTTGTAAAACGGTTTCAGCCATTTTTGCTACGCAGATTTAAGGTAGCTTTCACTAAAGAGCGACGAGGCAATGAGGAATATGGACTAAAATATAAGTGTAGGGACGATACTCGCGACATTACTTCTCACATTCTAGTAAAAAGGATCTCCTATTAGCGTTAGCAACCATAGCTAACGGTACAATAACCGTCAAAAGTTCAAAACGTACTTGCTGTTTTTATTAACTCTACCGTATAACAGCTACGGAGAGAGAGACCAAAACACGTCAGAGTGAAATGAGGGATAATAAATCTAGTTTCCACATTTTAACAATAGGCTCCCCATTTCAGTAACGGCACTAGTCGGTTGGTTATGCTCTCTTCTCGGCGTCCCGCACTTCCTGGTAACCGCAATCTCAAATATGATTGGACAGAGCGACTCATTAACGGCCAATCACCTGCGTCGTTACTGGAGCGAACAACAGTGTGGGGAAACTGAAAGAATCTCGGTCGCTCAAACAGTTAAAAACAGTCGTTTTTAATTAGTTAACTCAATGCTAATAGTTTTTTTTCTTACATTGATCTAGACGCTTGACGTATAACAATTCAAATATTATTTCAAAGCTGATAAAAAATACATAAACTGAATGCAAACTGTTCCTTTCAAATGTTATCTTTAATTTTTGGGACATCTTTTTGAAATCGTAACATGGTGAACTCAGTATTTACCCACCTGTCTTTTTGCATTATGCAGTTGTGAATTCAGACCGACAGAGGGCTGGCCAGATCCGCCATTCAGAGGTGTGTGTGCTCATGCACGCGTCCACGTGCGTGTCCGACACGTGGTGTCTGTGTGTGTGTTTACTGGAAGGCGACATGCTGCATTTAGGGGACCTCTGTAACATCTAAACTGAACAGTAGCTGCTCCAAGAAGTATTCTAATGTCACTTTTTCCTTCTAATGTGGTCTGAGAAACAAGAATTATTCATCCCTCTAACCACAAGAGTGTGCACGTCGCTTGTTCTCCTTTTGTCTTACGGTCTTGTTTCTGTGTCTTGAAGTTTAAACGCATTGTTTTAATATTTTAGGGCACATTGACTAAATCAGAATCAGAAATACTTTAATAATCCCAGAGGGAAATCATTTTTGTTACTAACTCCATAAATAAAACAACAGCATATACATAAATAAGCATGAAGAAAGGATTTTGTTTCCTGCTACAAAACTCAAGCTGATCAACTGTAAATCGCTCCATTTTGGAAATGTCTCTCCTTAAAAAAATGAAAGGAAAACCTTTTTCTGAATACCACAATAAAGGTAATTTAGAGATCTGTGGCTGTTGGTGTGTTTTAGTGGAAAATTAGGTTTAAAATTGGTTACAAAAATTTAGATAATACCTCTGACAAGATGCAAAAAAACCCTAAAAAGTCAGTGGATAATGAATCACTGTGACCTGAAGGGATTTATGCATTGGCAAGAGAAGACAATGGTGTTTATTCATTCAATAAAAGAGTCGAAGAACAACCCTCCTGTTTTCTGTCTCTCAAACTGTGTCATCTTTGGTATTTTTCACACATCGCCTAAACAACTGGGAGCTAATGATGTGTCTCTGTGACAGGCAGCTGGTGACAAAGAGCCCAAAGAGATTTAAGATTTAAACGGCTCCTTTTGTCTGTTCGGTGCAGACACAACACTGACTCATCCCTTGAGTTAGGGTCTTTTTTTTTTTCTACACGAGGTTTCCACAGGTCATCCGCTGGAACAAAAGAACCGTCTTAAACCGTGAGTCAGCAGCCG